AGGGGAAGTTAAGGCAAAAATTAAAATTTCACCAGTTGTAGTCTTCGGGGTGCTGAGTCGAATGGTCTTGGTCCGAAAAAGCTGAGACGCTCCCTTCCTACTTGAATCCCAATCGAACTCGCGCACTTCCACCGAAACTGGGTGACTGCGCCCTACTATAATTTGTAGATGGGGATTTGTATGCAAAATGTCACTAAAAGCGCCATTTCGTTCTTATAAAAGCACGGATGACCGCGATTGGCCCATACATGTATGTTGTAGTCTTTTGGACGCTGAGTCGACTGGTTTTGGTCCGAAAAGGCTGCGATGCAGCGTTCCTCCTTTATTCCCAATCGAACATGGTTGAACAAGCGGTCACGTGCTCCTGGGTGCCCAAATCACCTGGTCACCACGCCAGCAGGCGAGGTATATTATGCTCCGCAGGCCGCGAAAGAGAGCCCGTTACCTGGACCCCTACTCGCGCGGGTAGAGCGAAACTGAGCACCCTGGGATGCGAGCAGCTTTTTAGTACTCCCGGGTCCAAAATCTCACCACCAGGCCGGGATGATCAAAACGTCTGCCGGGTCTGCAGCCTACAAACGTGGATCTGCCGACACTGTGCTGTCGACGACATGTCCGGCAAGGCACCTCCTTGCGTGAAAGCAAGGAACGCTTTTTTTTTTAGAAAGGAAGCTTCTTCTCCAAAATTTAAAATTTTTGAAAATTATTCCTTCTGAAAATATCATCGCGTTCTTGACCTCGAAGCTGACTGCTGAATGCGATTAGGAAAGAAGATTCCTGAAGATACACCAGACTGATTCTGGCAAGCCGTCTGTCGTCTAGATATGCAGTTGTTCGTCATGCATGGTCAGCAATCTTCCTCGTTCGTCCTTTCGTTTTCCTGACCACGATGATGACAAGCAGCTCTCATGCTCAGGTTAGTGCTGTACTTGTATGTCTGGGCACACAACACATCTGAGATTCACCCACTGACGTTATCGAACTGAAGAATGCAGCAAGGGTTCCTCGGATTCTCTTGATTTCGGAACAAATTTCCTTCACTTTCACCCTCTCAGTCTCTTCCCCATGCCCTCCATGCATGCACAATGCAGCTTGCATTTCAATTGCTGTTTTTTATACTTTGGCAGTGCCTCTGCTACACTTTCATATAGAGTGAGGTCCTGTAAATAGGATCGAACATTGTTGGTGGTGGTGTGTGTGTGTGTGTGGGGGGGGGGGGGGTACGTTTGCAGCCAGGATGTAGGAATGACACTTCTGCACAGCAGGTGGCAATAGTCAAAACTGGTCACTCTACAAATCCCATACCTGCCAACCTTTGCAAACCTGAGATCCAATGACATACCTAGGCATGAAAATGTATACAAAAGAAGCTCGCGGTGAGGCATGGAACTAGTGCACTTTTGGGTGCCTATTACCGCCCTCGATATCGGGACGGTCCCGGCCAAATCGGGATGGTTGTCAGGTATGAAATCCCAACCGAGAAAACCATTTAATTAAAAGATAACTCGGCCAGGACATAGCGACTTTCTGTTTGCCGGGGGGGGGGGGGGAGGGTCATCGTCCGCAATATTGGTAGAGTTACGGTTACATTGTATATGTAGATACATGTGCATCAGGGATTCATAGCACCTGGGGAGACGACATGAGACCTAAGTACCCAAAACGTTGTGAGTTGTGACCCCGGATGGGGTAGTTCTACGTGATCTGTGTTTCTATAGACCTTATTCGATAACGTGATTTTTGGACTCGCCTCCAGGGATTTGTTGTAAGCTGGGGCACGCGTACGTGAAACGAGTGGCAAGAAAGGCCCAGTTCGTACAAGGGAGTAGTAAAATACCGGTATTTTTCTACTCCTATGTTCCCACGCCGAGTCCACTGTGCACTGAGTGCAGGTCTCTTGCCGCTCCCTGGTTCCCGGGACCCTGGTTCACGTGATTGTGACGTTTATTGAATAAGGTCTACATGTATATGCGGGCATGCATAAATCAACCCTTCCACAAGGACGGCTCAAACAGGCAGCCAAGGATTGAAAATTTCGCTCCTGGGGCTAGGAGTGAAACGAAGGCCTCAATTTGCCAGATGAACCTTCTCCATCGAAACGAACGAAGGTGTCAAATAATTCTTTTACCAGTTCACAGTTGCCGTTCACGCGCACTCCCCGGGGTGGGGGGGGGGGGCTACTATGCACTTGTAGTGATACTTACCGTAAGCCAAGTGGAACACGACTAGTTGACTGCACAGACTACAGTACAGTATACATGCACATGTATACAGTGAAGATCAGTGCGTGCATGCCTGCCATAATCGTATGTTGACCTTCGTTCGAATTGAAAAGAGAGGGTCGTTTCGAAAAAGAAAAAAAGCTCGATGGAAGTATGATGCTGCTGACAATTCAAGACTCACTGAAGTCGCCTTTCTGGAATGGATCATGCACTCTAGGTTCATCCAATTGGATATGGAATCAAATCATTGTTACACCATTATTGTTTGGTTAGTTATTGTACATCCCATAGCATGTACAATCAACCTTGTGAATAATCTACCTCGGGTTTACAAAACAACTCGCAAATAACGACACAATCTTCAGATCTAGTGAACATTTGATTGCATACTTCCAACCTCACGAGTAACAACAATGCGAATAGCGACACTTTTCTCATTCACAATCGAGGGTCAGTATTCCCCAGGTTGACTGCAATTGCCAATCAAACAGGAGGGGCGAAAGTCGACCACGGCTGAAAAGGCATAAAGAAAAATTAATGTATATCATGAGCTAGATGGCTGAAGGAGGAAGTAGGTTTTCTGAGAAAGCAAGAAACAGAGGTGAATGAAGCACCAGGTCTGTCCATGCAGTGGATAGAATTATTGCATTGAAAGACAGGCTCTTTACATCAGCTTGCTACTATTATACCTACATTTGCTTTCTGCCTTTTTCATGCAGGATTCTGAAAGCTGGAGCAGCTCTGCTTACCTCGACCACTGAACTTACAACTAACTTCCAACCAAGTACAAGGCAATATTATGATGAATCAAGCACGCTTGCCATCATGTCATCATTGCAAAATACATCGACAACATAGATTTGGTGCCGACTATGTATGATGTAGAGTGTGCTCTATGTATCTATACTACTGATTGGCCTACATTGTACTTATGTGGGCTGAGAGTAATCGATTGTGCTATATGGCAGTTTACTTGTATGTCATAGATGTTAACATTGCACACAGCTTCTGAAATGCTTTCTGTTGCACTGGCCTACTGCGGCCCACTGCAAATAGATTGTAGTGGCATGGGCCATGCCATAATTATAGTAGTATACCGGTACTACACCAACAATTTCACTGGTGCACTGTACTTACTGGTACGAGTAGATCTACATCATGCACAGCCTTGTCACTGCTTTTCTCATTTTTTATTAATTTACTGTACTGTACACATTTTGGCACAGTTCTTCCACAAAGAGTTACTAGTATTTTCTTCTGCATACCTACTGTATACAGTGACCTGACTGGTAACATCTATGGCTGTGAAATCACAAATTTCTGGGTTGACAGCCTCGAACCTATACGATTTGTTTCTAAGAACGTGCTATAAGAAATTTTCTATTGAAGTATTCTACTGTAGCTCGCCGGACATGGAGTGCAATTACGTAAAGTTTGGAACACCACTCTTCTGTGATTTGGATGTCAAATTATGAAATTCAGTGTGTGAGGTAAACCCATGCATGGCATACACTGCTATAGTATGACTCGGGGTAAAGTGTTCCAACGCATACTCATTATAGTGAATAGTTGTGTGACCAACGTTGTTGCTGCTGGATAAATAGTACATATTCTGAGATAACTGAAGCTACACAGCCATCTAATGTTCAGACATGCATCGAAGGGGCCGTAACGAGATCTGCAAGGCATGATTCTATACCTGTATTTGATGCTCTCTAGCCTAGGACATTCACCTGCCTCATTTTCTCTGTGCTGCATTGATGAGTCCATTAGTAACTAAAGGGCGAAACAGCATGCTGTCTGCAGATTGGTAATTGTGTAAAGACAGACGTGTATGTAGTGGTAAAGCTCAGATACATGTGCAACATAACAATCCCGGTGTTTGACAACAGCACAAACCTACACCGCAATTCTTAATTTTGGGCTGTGGTGTTCTTAGTATTCCAGGTTGGATGTTCTGTAGGCTTCCACGTTCTTGGGCGCACGACTTTACTGTGCCGAAGAATATTTTCAGCCAATGAACCCAGAGCTTGGTGGCAGATGAGTGCCATGGAACAGCCTTTTGCATGTGGCTTTCACTACATGCACATGTATAACGTTCAATTGATGCGGAAAAATCAGACGAGGACTTTTGCAGTTATGAGCAAGGTCCCCACGAATGGTCATGTCACTTCACAGAATACATGAACTGATAGAGTAGACCTCGGTCCCCTCAGAGAACGCTTGGGGAAGTCGGGTTCAACCATAGATTTATACTTAACAGAGAACGCTTGGGGAAGTAGGTTTCAACCATAGATTTATACTTAATATTCTTTACAACAAGGATCGATATGTTCCTTCGGATGCCCTTTATCGACTTTCACACACTTCTCCTCTCTCCTTTCGTCATAAGCACCATCTCTGTACACTGGTTCATAAAATATTTCTTCCTAAAACCCCTTCACACATAATGAAGTACAATTGGTTTTCGACAAGCTCAACCCGTAACGCGCTTATCCTGCCTCTTGTTAAGTCAGCCCGGTATCTAAAGCCCCCCTTGTTTTCCGGTTATTCTCATTGGTTAACTGGGGACATGTCCAAAACCATACTAAGTACTTAAGCTGCTCATGAGCCCCACAATTATCAGGCCCGCCGGTCTGGTTGGTCAGGTTATCACCAGACCAACTTGTTGGCCACCAACAAAGGTTTCCTACCGTGGAGGACGTGTGTACCCGCCGTGAAACTACCGGACCAATCAAAAACTGCTTCCGGCGGTACTGATTATAGTACAGGTTTAAGTTAAAAAGCGGCTCCATTTTGTCATACATTAAACCAACTCTGTCATTGCTATGCTACTCAAAAAGAGTAGTGATGTTTATTCACAAATGAATCACAATGCTATCAGAGAAATTCGATATTCTCCAATTTTAGGGGCACTGCAATACTATCCAAAATTAATGCTGCATGGTCATTGTTATGAAGCAGTCACCTCAGTACAGCAATTAAACAGGCTGATTATGTGAACGAGATTCACGGCAAATCTTCTTCCATCAGTGCTGTTCAGTCTTGAGTGGTCCACTGAGACAGGAAAACAACCTGTTCGGTCCTTCCATACGAGAAACAGAAATTGAACATGTTCCAGGGTGGAGGTGGCGAGTATCGGCAATGTAATGCACCTTTAGGCCAACATGACCATCATTCCGACATGGATTTTCAAACACCTTCGCTCGTGAGAGTGCCTCAGAGTGGTATTCATCAACAGATGGCAATCCTGTAAAACACATGAAAAGACATAGCAGCAACAGAAAGAAACCTAATGTTATAGAAACGAATTCGAAAAACAAAGTCTACTATTATTCTAATACAGTGAACCAAGGTACAACCACACTCCAGGAGGCAAGCAAAAGAGCATATAATCCGAAGGTTGCGATGCCTGTATGTATTGTATTTATGTATTTACGGATTCTCCACAGGCTAAATCGAGGGAGTCTTTGTCATGCCACACTGGATACAACATGCTACCAGAATCACTTTCCCCAGAATTGATGATCTTTTCTTAGGGTGTTATATAAGACACATCTGTAGCCACTTCATCTTGCTCACGAAATCATACACCACCACACAAACGGGTCCTTCGGCTATTATACTTTGGGTGGTACATGGTGATGTATGATATTGATAATCTATTGATACCATATTCAAGTCTGACTCTCACCGTGAGATCCTGGCAACAATATTACCTGGTACACGACATATTCAGACACTGACATAAGCATCTTTTTGGAACAACAGGTGTGCCTATCTGCTAGTGTAATGTGACACACATGCAGAACACATGCAGAATCAGTCATAGCTAATTTTACCCCCTCACTGTTGTATGCGCAGACTCCACTTCGCGGTGTCAAGTACTCTTCTTTCGGTGGGCTACTCCACTAAGGCGCTTGTCTAAAAGGACTCACATTCATCCTGCAAACCAACACGACTTGCATAGTTTTCACTGTCGGCCAAAGTGCGTGCATTGCACACATTGAGATTCACTCCCTCCGTATAGGCCAGTACAGAGCTGCCCACCAATTGAGTCTGTTTTGCGTACTCAGACTTCTGATTTTCCGTATCTTGCAGTGTTTTGCGTACTGCCGTGTACATTGCATGCATACTTGCACTGTAATGTTTTTTGACACGCACATGCATGTCGGTGGCTGCATTTGGTAGTGTAAAACATGTGTGACTTGCACTCACGACATTATTATTTTTGTGCTACATGTACATGTTGTTGTGGTACGGCATGCACTCGCTTTGGTACAAGACTATTCATCACTCAGCTTACACTTGCAATGCTTCTACACAGCTGATTGATCCTCTCCGATTTTCTATACCATTTGCTCAATTTCTGTAGTGCGCACAAGGAGTGATTTTCCGTACAAATACAGAAAATATGGAGGGCTGGTACTTGGTAGCACTGCTAGTATGGTAGTACCAGGCTAAGCTGGCTGGAAGATCAAATACTTCTTTGGTTCTTTCAGTCATTTTCACGACATATGTTTTCTTTATCATGATCCCCGCGGTGTGACATTCTTATGAATGCAGAAACTCAGTCTTTCTAACCGAGTCTCACGTGCAATGTGAATTTGTTCTTCTTTTCTTCACAATGCCATGTATCGATTCATCGCTTCTTCCCACCCGAGATCCTATGCAACAGCGATTTAAAGATTGGCTTTATCAAATAGTTAATTCAGAGAGAGAGGATCAGTTGTGGATGCTGTGACAGCATAGAGTGTAGATTGGTGTAAACATCATTGCCCAGCAGAACCGTATTCACAGGGATCTGCGTTTAGCATATGGAAGCTATTAGAATTTGTACACGTCCAATAAGCCTGAAGAGAAGAACACCTAACTTAGACTGTCCTAACGTTATCGAACGCACTGCCAAAGTAAAAACAACATTTGAAATGCAAACTCGATTGTGCATGCATGGAGGGCATGGGGAAGAGACTGAGAGGGTGAAAGTGAAGGAAATTTGTTCCGAAATCAAGAGAATCCGAGGAACCCTTGCTGCATTCTTCAGTTCGATAACGTCAGTGGGTGAATCTCAGATGTGTTGTGTGCCCAGACATACAAGTACAGCACTAACCTGAGCATGAGAGCTGCTTGTCATCATCGTGGTCAGGAAAACGAAAGGACGAACGAGGAAGATTGCTGACCATGCATGACGAACAACTGCATATCTAGACGACAGACGGCTTGCCAGAATCAGTCTGGTGTATCTTCAGGAATCTTCTTTCCTAATCGCATTCAGCAGTCAGCTTCGAGGTCAAGAACGCGATTATTATTATTATTATTTATTAAATTTTTAATAGGGAATTCCCACAGGCCTAAGGCCTTCTTACGGGGTACCCTATATGTTTTTGTATAGATGAGCGGAAGTCTGATAGCGTGGAGCAAATACGAACGATGATATTTTCAGAAGGAATAATTTTCAAAAATTTTAAATTTTGGAGAAGAAGCTTCCTTTCTAAAAAAAAAAAGCGTTCCTTGCTTTCACGCAAGGAGGTGCCTTGCCGGACATGTCGTCGACAGCACAGTGTCGGCAGATCCACGTTTGTAGGCTGCAGACCCGGCAGACGTTTTGATCATCCCGGCCTGGTGGTGAGATTTTGGACCCGGGAGTACTAAAAAGCTGCTCGCATCCCAGGGTGCTCAGTTTCGCTCTACCCGCGCGAGTAGGGGTCCAGGTAACGGGCTCTCTTTCGCGGCCTGCGGAGCATAATATACCTCAGCAGGCGACAACTTTCACACCAAGGTTCAACTCGAGTGACAGGACTGCACCCAAAAAAGGTCAAACAGGCTGGTAAGTAACTTAGTTGTAGTACCCTGCAAGCACGGTGACCAGGTGACTGGCGTACGCAGGAGCACGTGACCACTTGTTCAACCATGTTCGATTGGGAATAAAGGAGGAACGCTGCATCGCAGCCTTTTCGGACCAAAACCAGTCGACTCAGCGTCCAAAAGACTACAACATATGGGCCAATCGCGGTCATCCGTGCTTTTATAAGAACGAAATGGCGCTTTTAGTGACATTTTGCATACAAATCCCCATCTAGTAGGGCGCAGTCACCCAGTTTCGGTGGAAGTGCGCGAGTTCGATTGGGATTCAAGTAGGAAGGGAGCGTCTCAGCTTCCTCGGACCACGACCATTCGACTCAGCACCCCGAAGACTACAACTGGTGAAATTTTAATTTTTGCCTTAATCTAGCCAGAAGCAGTCCATGGTTGATTGGTATGTATACTTCAAACAGAAAGTATATGAACCCTGGAACCAACAAAGGTGGCAGGTACAACATTACACCTTCAAGTAGCCGAGCCCGTTGGCAACAGACCCAACACAATCAGGCATAAGTGTACCCACCAACCGAACTAGCTGGCACACACACACACACACGCACACACACACACCCACACGCACACACATAATTATATAATACATTTTAAAAGACATGTTATTATCGAGTCGCAAAGTTAACAATTGTCCAAAATTCAGACTTTAACGAGAAGATCAGTTAACCAGAATTCACTATTCCGGCATAGCTGCACATAACACATATGAGGCATTACAGCCTCAACAGAATTTATTATCATAACGTAGAAATGTCATTCATTTTAAAACGTTAGATTTACTTTCTCGCACACGTCTCACAGCATGTACAGGCACACACACACACACACACACACACACACACACACACACACACACGCGCTCACAGGCACGCAAGTGCGGTATACATGTAACCAGAAATGCATTGTGCTGCACTCTTGCCCATATGGAAAGTAGAGGAGGAAAGCGTCTGAGGCAGTAAACTTGATGCTGTGACCTGTCCCCGCTGAGAAGGACGAGGCAGAGAGAGAGAGAGAGAGAGAGAGAGAGAGAGAGAGAGAGAGAGAGAGAGAGAGAGAGAGAGAGAGAGAGAGAACTTGTGTGATGGTAAAAAAAGTTCTGCTCGTGCCAATAGAGGGTGTATCTTCTTACACAAAACAGGTATCCTAGATCTATAGTACCATTAATGGGAATAGAGAAGAGAGAGAAGAAATTATCAATGTCTAAGAAAAGTGAGAAAAAACCCTTAGAGTTTTAAAATGAGTCAAATACGGTGGGAGAAAATAATTATCAGCCGTCCTTCGATAGAGTTTAACACAGAAAAAGGTGCAAGCAAGAGGAATGCAACCCAATACATCACTAGCAATTGACTACATCCATTGTTACAGCAGATCTTCCATTCGTGCACAGCACTTTCGGTGCTGAAGAATCGGTAATCCTCACAGGGAACACAGAACTTGTTTTTACTGGAAGAATTCAATGCATTCGGGACAGGGAAAGATGTCGATACGGTGTTACTCGAAGCACACACCATACTCTGGGAAAGGTCTGGGCAGGAGTAGCGGGCAGCTGCCGCTGTGTCCGGGAGCAGCCGAGGATCAGCTCTTCGGCTGCAGTCACGGTGGACATCACATCATCAACAATGTTAGAGAGCACTACAGGTGACAGCACTGGCTCTATGGACACTGCATGGCCGGCCCTTGCACTGATTAAATCTTTTTTTTTAAGCATCGAAGTAGTACAAGTACAAGTAGACGGTTCTGCTGAAACACAAACTAAGAGACAACGATGTGGACTGAAAAATCCGTCTTCAATTGTTCGAACCCCACGAGTGTAGCACATCAGACAAAAGGACAGGTGGAGTGGGGGGGGGGGAGGGATTGTTCGTAACAGTGAGACTTATCCATTTATGCATGCAAACAATGCAGCCGCGCTTCAATCCATTAAAAAAAAATACATGCCATAAGCTGTGATGTGTATGTACATGTATGTAGACTAAGCCGGTGGCAGTTCTCGGACAATCCCGTAAGCGAACAGAGAGCGACACCTTGGGCACCTCTTTGCATGCATCGCTACAGGTCTAGAGAATTCGCGCAGTGACGGCAGCTCAAAACGCAGGCCGCGGCGAGGTTAGATTCGCATTCCGTCCTCGTGAGTCTGCTATTCGCGATATGCCCGGAGATTGCGTCCGTCCGCGATGCGTACTAGAATGACCACACATGCTACGAGTGTGCACACATCGGCACTACAACGGGGGCTCTGCACGCAAGACATTCTGCACATGTAGGAGTCGGCAGCACAGGCTAGCCTAGCGCAGTACTCTCCGGCAACACGGGCATGTTCGGTGCACAAGCAAGCGTGCATGCTCAGCCCGTACAGTCTCCACCATTTTTCTGGAGATGAGGGTTGCAGCACAGTGAGATCTGCCTTGAAGATTGACGTTGCGGAGCGTGGCATTTTCTCCTCGCGGACAGCTGTGTTGGTCTGAATATTTCACACGCAAAGAGAAATATATAGACAGAGAGACAATGTCAGAGGGAGAGATGAGATAGATAGGCAGAGAGAAAGAAAGAAAGAGAGACAAGGAGAGAGAAAGAGAGAGAGAAAGAGAGAGAGAGAGAGAGAGAGAGAGAGAGAGAGAGAGAGAGAGAGAGAGAGAGAGAGAGAGAGAGAGAGAGAAAGACTGTTAGGGAGGCCAAATCAAAACAGTAGAAGCACTGGAAGCTAATAACACTAGATGCACCAGCACAGTTATAGGCGATATCCAGCTAATCGCCATTATCATACCAATCGCCCATATTCAAGTATTCGCAACCCAGATGTTATCCTTACTAGGATACAGTATAATCACACTGCAAAAAACAAAAAAATCTACTAGTAACTACTAAACATACTCAGATGGTAAAAAAAAGTAAATTATCGTGTCCGTTCCCGAAGGGAACTCACGACGGCCGCTAACACCCGATAAACCCTAGCGGCAGATGCAGCGCCTAACGGTGAGATGGTGAGCCAAGGATAATAATAATGGAAACAATGAAAACGGTGGGGCACAAGTTATGCGTTAGAGTCCACCAACTAAACCAGATGTTGCACAGTCAGACGTGCACAAGGTGGTTCTTTGCCGTGGATTATCTCAGTGCTACCTTGTGCATGTCTGACTGTTCGAAGTCTGGTTTAGTCGGTGGACTCCAACGCATAACTTGTGCCCCACCGTTTTCCTTGTTTCCATCTAACCATTACACGTTGCTAAACGCTCATCATACAATTTAAATACAAGTAAAAACATGCAAAGGATTTCTTAATGTGCGCAAGCTCCACTGCAGCCACTTCATTACCTGGAAAGCCTTACACACACCATCTTCAATCCAAGTGGTCTCTTCGCTGCAAATTACAATAATTATCTCAATCAAATTTTCGGCCAGGAGCCATCATCAGGATCTCTTGGATTGAAGATGGTGTGTGAAAGTTTTTCCAGGTACAGTCGTCCCTCTTTAATCCAGCACTTTACAAACCAGCACCCTCGATAAACCAGCACAATTTTCAGTAGCCAAAACGTCCTCTTCACGCACGTTGCAGCAGTAAATCAGATTTGTTAATCCAGCACCCTCCCTAATCTAGCGGATTTCCGTGGCACAAACGCGGCCGGATTAGAGAGGGACCACTGTAACATGCATTTTTTTATTAATTTTATTTTTTGACGGTTACAACATGTAGCGGGGCAATTCAATTACAGAATCCCAGGTGCACTCACCTCCAATACACGGTCTTGTCACTCCCATAGTCACATGCTACGTACAGTTGCCTTTGTTCCATTCCATCACGGGTAGGGTTGGCAACGACACGCGATGCGACACGGATCTCCCAGCAGCAGCAGTATTGTTGTTGTGGTTGCTGTTGTTGTTGTTGTTGTTTGGCTTTGGCGCCGACAAGCCCAGACTATCAAGCACAACGTCCAGCGAGGAGCGCTTTTGCACTTTGAACGGCGGCTGGGCTGCAGCTGACGGCACACCCGGCAGTTCGGGCAGAGACGCCCGGCGAAGGTTGTCGGACAAACACGGTCGGTGGGCAAACACCGGCTCGGAGTACATGTCCAGGGCAAGGCCGAGGGCATTGGATTCGGCCGCTGACGACGTGTCAAGGGTGACTGACGGTGCAGCCCACTCCTGATCCTCATGGAGGATGTCGTCAACGCTGCGATTCGAGATGATGGGCACCAGACGCAGTTCTCTGCCTTTGTTGGCTGCTGGCGGCAGGATGGAACTGGCGGAAGTGTCTGGACAGTCTAGCACGCTGTGTCGGCTCTCCTGGATCGTAATGTATGAGCCTTCGGAGCTGCCATCTGCGTTGCTGCTGGGGCAGGTACTGCCTTGAGTGATGGCCAGCGGCTCCATTCCCCACGTGCCCTTAGCAAGCTGGGACACTGGGTCGACGGACTCCGCCTGCGAGCTCAGGTTTAAGCTCAGCGTACTGCTGGACTGACGGGACAGGGTAGAAACGGCGGCTGACGAAGGCGCAGACTCCAGCAAGGGTCGATTGATCTCCTGATAGTGGCGGGCTTGGTTGGCGATGTATCCATAGTTGCAGACATTCGACAGCACATCGGCGCTCTGCGCAGGCAGCGAGCGGTATATCATATACGGATCTTCTTCCCCGCCGTCCTCACCCCCGGACCCGTCGTCGAGGAAGTCCACGGTCGTCGAGACGCGAAACACACTGTTACCGGTGACGGAACTGGTGCCTGCCGCACCACCACTGCTGCCATCGTCGAGAATCCCGTACGCTGTCGACCCTATCATTGCGTCCGCATCCAGGCTGCGGGCCCCAGAATGCGCGCCCCTGAAGCTCTTCGCAGGCGCATACGTTGAGCTCTTCGCCGGCGCATACGTTGGGCTCGGTGGTGGGTTGGCGGCACCTGTGCCTGCGGAAGCGAGAGGCTGGATCGCAGCCATGCTCGATAGCGACGCCCTGATGCCGGTTTTCCCCGCTGCGCGCAGCGGAGGTGGCGGTAGAGCGGCCTCGCCCACGTTACCGTACTGTGCGGAGCCAGGACCGTCCATGGGAGACCGCTTGACCTCGTCCGACTTGGCCGCCTTGCCCCTACGCATCTTCTTCATGGAGCTGTACCTGGGAGTGGCGATGGCGGTGGCGGTGGTGGCACTGTTGCTGTTGCTGGCACCCGCAAAACCGGTCGAAAGTGAGTGAAACGACATGGCTTGGCGGAGCGGGCCGGTCGATTGTCGCTGCGGCGTTGGCTCCTCGTGGTAGTTGGCGGCGGCAGCAGTGTTGTGCTTGTGGCGTCGCACGATGATACTTGTGTAACGTTGAAGCGCCGCGCTCAAGTTGCTACTACCCAGCGTTGTGCTGGCACTAGTGGAAGCACCCCCGTTGCCTGGACTCGTGCCCAATGGGGAGATTGCCCGAGTGTGCTTCTGCGACGACTTTCCCGGCTTTTTCTGGCTGCCATTCGCCCGAATGCGCCCGTAGACCGGGCGCTTCCCGTCGACGGCTGCTACGTCCGACGATGCGCCCGACGTTAGGGACGCCAGGGGTGTCTCATCGCTGATGCTATCTTCACGCATGCGCACGTCGCGATCCTCCCAGTCGACTTTCACATAGCCAATACTCTCGTTGTCGGACAACGCGTCCCCGGCGGTCGCCAGAGACGGGTTGTTTGTCACGGAGACGGCCAGTTTCTTGCGTGTGATGTGTGGCGTGGTGCTGCGTGACGGGGGCGGAGCGAGGCACTCGGCGGGATTCAGCTCCATCGCCTGCGGTCGGGATTTCGGCTCACCACCCCGGGCGGCTTCGGGTGGCGACAGGGTGACTGGGCATTCGTACTCCTCGGATATGTGCAGCGCGGCCGCTGCCAACGTCATCGAATTCCCTATCGCCGCGGTCGTCGGTGTCTGGCTGCGACCCTCTTGAGTGCTGAACACACGGGGGAACTGCAACGCGCCCTCTGCTGAACCATTGTGTCCCACGACCTCACCGGTGTCGGCGTTCGGCGGAGATTGAGCGTCAGAGCGCAGGATCACCGGCGCTGCTAGTGCCGCTGCTGCGTCGAAGGGACCCAAGGACAATTGACTGGGCAAGGGTGGTGGCGGCATGGGCAACCGTTGCTTGGAGGTTGTCGGAGAAAGCAGTTTGCGAGACACGCTCACCGCGGAACGAGACTGGGACAACGCTGGGGTGTGAACCACGTCAAAGTTGACGCGAGCGCGAGCGCTGGCGCAACGAACCAGATCCCCGGTGCTCTTGGAGAGGCTGTCGGTGCGACTGCTGTGAAGTCCCTGCCCCCCTTTGCCCCTGCCACCTCTCCGGTGCCTCGGTGGCTGGTGAAGCGGCTGACAGCGCGAGTCATTGCTGCTGCTGCTCGTGTGGCGAGAGTACTGCTGGCTGCCGGAACGGCTAATGTTCAGCGTGTTGAACGGTTCCTGATACGGGTCCTCCTGCTCAGGCCCTCCATCATCAATTGTCCCGGTTGGAGTCGTCACAGCCGCTGGATTCACTGCCGGTGCCCCGGCCTTTACCAGCATGCTGGGAAGGGATCTGCGAGGTTCGTACGATACATTGCCGTCACTGTGCGAGTTGCGGTACGTACCAAACATCGCGAATGGCTGCTGGTACGGGTCATCTCCTGTTCGGTCCACGGGCGCGCTGAATTTCGACTCGTTTACGTTCAGCAAGTCTCCGGCACTCTTCGACAGCGAACAAGCAGGGCTCTCCTCGCTAGTTGCCTGCTCCTTCGACAAGCGGCCGTCGAGGATGTCGTGGACTGAAATGGAGTTGAAGGGTTGCTGGTAGTTCCTGCCGCCTTGCTCCTCGTCCTCGCTGGTGCTTGGGTTAACACGCGGGTGCAGGGAGGAGCGGCGTTGTGACCGTGTCGATACGCAGCTCAGTATCGTGTCGGCGCTCTTGCGTCGTCCCCGACCAGGACTGTGGACGGGATTGTGCACTGGCGTCAGTCTTGTCGCCTCTGCCGCCGCCACTGCTTCATCGGTAACATGGGCGCCGTTGCCGCCAATCTTGCCGTTCAGATGTTGCTGATGGAGTGCGAGATACGATGGACGGCTCGATTGCTGACTCGCAATGTTGTCGTCATCTACCTCACCTTCGCTCAGTCTGCTCAGCGGCAGGTTATGCACGGAGATTCTACGCTCGTCACCACCGGCCCCGACCGCACCAGCACCTAGCATTTCGTCGTCTGTGTCGTTGCTGTGATTGGCCCTGACCAGGACGGCGTAGTCACGACCACCGCCACGCTTCCGCATCTGCATGGGACTACAGGCATGCGCGACGCGGCTACTGGGATCGGCCATACTGAAAACGGACGAGCGTAGCGACATCAGTTCCAGAGAGGAGATTTCATCGGAGCTGATGTACCCGGCCGCCGAGGAGGCGTGAGCCGCATCGCTAGACGACGCCGTGAACGAGTCCGTCTCGTCTTTCATGATGGTGGCCCGCGCCTCCCACTGAGGAACGGCCGATGTCTCCATGCTGTGGCTCCTGTTGGCCATCGTGTGCTGCTGCTGCTGCAGGTGACGTTTGTTGCGAACAACACACGGCTCTTCTTCCTCTTCGCTTTCCGTCGCAATGATGAAGAGCGGCGGCTCGTGCTTGCCTGTCAAACTGTCCAGGACAGGAGCGCTGTCTTCACTCTTGCTACACTGTATACTGGTTCTCTTGCCCTTTCTACTTCTTCTCCATTTTCGTTTCCTCCGGTGTAAGTAGTGCGCAAATGCCAGCATGATGAGAAAGGAGCAGGTTGCCGTGGGGACAGCTACGTAGGCCAGCTTCACACCGCTGATCCTCGGCACGACGACGTCGTCGATCTCTGCAGTGCGGCAGAGAAGACGCAGACAGGCATGCGCACACGTGCACATACAGAGACACATGCACACACAAACAGACACACACACACACACGCAATTTGTCAGATACAGTGCTGGCAACTGAAATCCGACCCCCCTGGTGGCGCGCCGCGCCGCCAAGGGGGTCGGACTTCAGTTGCCAGCACTGTACATTAGACCAAGGCTGCGACAGCCGGAAAGGAGACCACATCAATTTTCGAGTAATTATCAATCTTTTATACAAAACGAAAAAAGTTTCGTTCATGGGTACCGGGTGGGTCGAGGAGAGTTTCATTATGAACATGTTGATAGTTGAAACAACAATCCATTTTTAGCCGTCAATCAATATATTTTTCATTCAGGGGGGGGGGGGGGGGTAGGGGTGCGCGGATTATGCTCGCACGCACAAAATTGACAGAATTCCCCCAAAACTCTTCTGAAGGTCAATGGATCTGGCAAAAGATCGATAGAATTCCCCTAAAATGCCCAAAACTTTCTCAACGATAGTATTCCCAAATTATTTCGGGAATAATCTGTGCGCCCCTATGGGGGGGGGGGGGCAGAACTAAACTTTCTCGTTTCGTGAAAATTATCGATCATGCCGGATGGCCCATATTAAAGGGCATAATTTCTACTTTACAGTTCAATACACAGTCCTGACTGTAGTGAGAACGAACAACGATACGTACCGGAGCAGATGGTTTCGTTTGAACTCCATCGCCCAGCCTCGGCAGTGACAGCGTTGCAGGTGAGATACAGAGCGCCAGAGCGTTGGTAGCCTGCATCGCAGTCCACACGCACCACACTGCCGACGCTAGCATCCTGGCTAGATACGGATCCTTGCGGTATATCCAGCATAGGGCAGTAGGCGGCGATTACTGAACAGGAAACAACATCACCACCAGCAGCAGCAGCAGCAGCAGCAGCAATGCCAGCACAAGCAGCAGTACCACCACCAGCAGCACCAGCAGCAGCACAAGCAGTAGTACCACCGACGAGAGCAGCAGTAGCAGCAGCAGTAGCAGCAGCAGCAGCAGCAACAGTAGCAGAAACAGCAGCAGCAGCAGCAGCAGCAACAAGAGGAAACAGTAAATACTAGGTGCACGGCGAGCACAGCCTTGCCACGAGTGGCTAGGTGTCATCCTCATTTCTTTACAATGATTATGATTCAGGGGCGTTGGACATGGTGCGGTCACTACGGTATTAACCGTACCACCTTTTGTCCCAGGGTACCCCGTGAATCAATAAAGTACACATTTCTGGGCTCTAAATTTCCAAATTTTCAGCTCAGGAGCCCCCCCCCCCAAGTAAATTGTACTTCAGATGGCTGACCGTACCACACTGAAATACCTTCCGACACCCCTGTAAGTTTGTGCTTGTGTCACGACATCCAGATAACAACTAAGCGAGTGAAGATATCGTAGCCTCTGCTGACCTACCAAAATTATTTTTCCAAACTGTCACATCACTTTGTCAAATCCTGCTCAAAACCTGGTCAAATCCTAGTCAAAACTGTGTCAAATCCTAGTCAAAACCTGGTCAAAACCTTGTAAAATCCTGGCCGAATATGAAGTTCTGCCTATGCACATAATTATCGCAAACCTCCACAATCTGGTTTCCAATGCAGCCAAGCCCGACAGGAATTACTGTACACACGCATTGTCTTACCGTTGCTTGAAAGCTTAGCTCCTGGCCACAAGCAGTTCCCACACAGCCAAACCCTACAGAAATTGCTGTACACACGCATTGTCTTACCGTTGCATGCAAACCTAGCTCCCGTCCACAGGCAGCTCGCGCCTTCACGCGTGCCCGCGGCTTGCCTGGTGCAGACGAATGTAGAGCCTTGCGCCGGTCGAAAGCCATCCTGGCACGCGAGAGTTGCTGTGCCGCCAACCGCTCGACTTGAGTAAATCAGATGTCCGTGTATATTGGTGGAGTTTGGTATCAGCGGGCACAGCCCTGGATTGGAGCGGCAATGCAGAGGGCAAGCATGTACGTGTGAACGCACGCACACACGCACACACACACACACACACACACACACACACACACACACACACACACACGCGCGCATGCACGCACACACACACACACACACACACACACACACACACACATGCATGCACACACATACGCGCACACACGCACGCACACACACGCACGCACACACACACGCACGCACACACACACACGCACGCGCACACACACACACACACACACATCCGTACCAGTATCAACGGCAGTACTCCCAGCAGCATCGGTAACAGCAGCATCAGAAAAAGCAGCAATAGCAGAATACCGGCATGAAGAAAATAGCAAAATAAGCCGAACCACAACTGAGTAACATACCACATATTCAGGATGGTGGTGATATTTCGCTGATGAAACTTACGTGAAAATCAATTCTGCAAACCTGCTCCTCCGTTGGTGTATAGTGATGGCAGCATAGCTGCCTTATTTTATTGCTGTTCTAAAATTGTCTTGACGTGGTCTTTTCGTACATGTATGTTTACTAGTCTAATGTTCAGGATAGCTGACACAATTCTTACAACAGTCCATTCAGAAAATGATGATATCCTCGCTTTTGGCCATAAATGGGTCAAATTTCGAGGTGCACATCACATCCGAACCAGTTCCGTTATTTTTACGACGTTTCGGCACTTGGCCATCATCAGGTAATAACAATGAATACCGTGGAAGCCACACAAGAGCAGTATATATACGCAGAGTGTAGCGGCAAAAAAAGATGCGAATTATGTCACCTACTTCAGTAGTATGCAGAGGGGGGGGGGGGGACAGAGAGAGAGAGAAGGTGCAACTAGCACATCATGGAGAAGAAGCAGCAGAAGGTAGCGCACCATTGCATTGTGCTCTGTGAAGGGTGCCATGGCGTTACGCAGAGTGTAGCGCCAAAAAAACAAAACTCTGCGTATATATACTGCTCTCTGCGTACAGTCAACTTCGCTTATAACGACACTCAGCGGGGCATCCGAAAAGTGTCCTTATTCGCGAAGTGTCGTTATTCGCGAAGTGTCGTTATACCCGAAGTCTCATTATATGTGTCACAGTTGGAAGGGACTTTGCTCTGGGCATGAAAATTATGTCGTTATTCGCGAATTGTCGTTATATCCGCAGTCGTTATAAGCGAAGTTGACTGTATATAATTATACTGCTCTTGTGTGGCTTCCACGGTATTCATTGTTATTACCTGACGATGGCCAAGTGCCGAAACGTAAAAATAACGGAACTGGTTCGGATGTGATGTGCAGCGCTATGGGAATGGGTGTGTCCACCCGAATTCCTTTCAGAGATGAAGCTGCAGGAAGCCTCAGCCCTGCTTCAAATTTTGAGGTTTTGTCACAATATTTTTGGCAATCCCTATGGACTGATCTTCCAATTATGTTTTTGAAGTCTATTTCACCAAAGAGCAAGCCATGACAAGAACAGGATTTCGGCCAGGTTTTGCCCCTGAAGCACTGAATTGGGGGAAAACCATGAAACTCCAGGCTGTTCACTCCACTTGCATAACAGTACATTTGAGGTTCGAACCCCCAGTTGAGGTTCCGTTTTTGGACCCTTTTTCAAGTTTCAAATCTCGCGGCACTGCACAGTGTACCACAAAATCACGAAAAATCACCAAATACAGGAGCTCTCCAGAGCCAGGGCTCATCTTTTTCTGAATGGATTGTAGGGCTGAAACGAATGCTCAAAGAAATGAGCCACTAAGCCGGGCCTGTATAAGCAGAAGATGGGAATTACATTGCAGGATACGGTAAACACGGAAACCTTAGCGGTCCGGAACCCTTCGCCGCTTTCGAAATGGGCGTAACATCGCGAAAAGTAAGCCGGCACGAAACGTGGAAACATGGTAGAGAACGCTCACACACACAAGCACACACACAGGCGCGCGCGCACACACACATACACATACACAAACACACATACACAAACACACACACACACACACACACATACATACACACACACACAAACACACATACACACACACGGGCGCGCGCGCACACACACATACACAAACACACATACACAAACACACGTACAGTGCAAACCAAAACATCTCACCATTCTCGCCACAGTCATCACTGTTCTCCTGCTTGGTTACCGTTGGCAACGACAAAGCGATTGAGAACAGGAGCACGAAGCTGGGACTGAACAGTGGGGTAGCCATGACAACCAGCTGTACAACCTGGACCAGAAATGACGTAAAGGAAGACTATAGCTCAGTCTGTGAAAGTTTTTTTTTTTAACTATACGCCTGCGCAAACGCCTACCCTAAAATCGGCCCTCCCCCAAGGAAAACTGGAGTGGGTAGCACGGGGGGTAGGCCCAGACAGATCCTGCCGGCAATTCTTTCGGCAAAATATCGAAGAATTGAAAGAGCAGAAATTGCCGGCAAAATCGGAGCAAAATATCGAGATGTTGGATAAATCGATGCCTGATACTTGGATTTCCTTGTTTCTTCCCTGTTCAGCATGATAAACTGCCCAGAACGAGATCATGTCACCGAAATATCACTGGGATTCACTGTGGATCGACATGATTTTGGAAGAACTCAGGGACACGTGCGTGGAAACCCGTGTTGAGAAACCCGTGTTAAGAAACCGACCATGCAAGTTTTCTGAAACGTTGGACGGGATTGTACGGGAAGTGGATAAAATATACGTTTTTCCGGAGCAAAATGGAGCAAAATATCGAGTTTCTAGTGCCAAGCTCGGCAAAATATCGAAAATTTCGCAGCAACATTTTGCGGCAAAATATCAAGGCGAGCGGGGCAGAATCTGTCTGGGCCGACTGGGGGAACAAAACACATGTCATTTCACAGTCCAGATGCCCATGCCATCTCCTTAGTTTCAAATGACTCAGTGCTGGTAGTCAAACATTGCCCTGGACACCTTCAGCACTCGTGTGTACGTGCATGGATCAACCACGATGCAGACCCTAACTGCAAAGCTCCTCTTTTTTTTAACTACCACCTCGCCATCCTAGCCATGGCACCATTTTAGAAGCTGCATCTGAGCCTTGATCCTTGAGGACATTCCCAGTACGGATGTGAGAAACTCAGTGTTCTTGGCCGTCAATAATCATCGAACTTTTACACGAAACGAAAAAAGTTTCGTTTCTGGGTGGGTGGGTCAAGGAGAGGTTCGTTTTGAAAGCTATCGATAGCTGAAACGTCAGTCCATTCTCGCGCTCAAGTCAACTATATTTTTCGTTCATGTGGGGTAGTGGAGGGTTGAAACTAAACTTTTTCGTTCCGTGAAAATTATCGATTATGCCGGATGGCCCCTAACTGTGTCTCGTGCAAACCGTCAATTTTTTACATCCTAGCAAATCACAGCGCACACACACACACCTACACACACACACACACACACACACACACACACACACACACACACCTACACACACACACACACACACACACATGCACACCTACACACACACACACACACACAAGGCCGTCACAGCCGGGGCGGCTGGGGCGGCTGGGGCGGCTGAGGCCGCCCCACTTTTTCGGCCGTTTTTTTTTTTTTTTTTTTTCGAGCACATTACAACAAAGCACAATGCATAATCGCAGCTTAGCGCAAACGTGACAAATCCTTGTCCCCAATCGTGGTTTGTTGCAGAAAAAAGTCTTTCATTGCAGTTACACTGAAATGGCACCAAATGCCTGGAAATGCTTGCAATTGGCTTCAATTTTTGAATTTTTTCCCGGGGAGGGTAATGTTTGTCCTGATTGTAGCGTCTTCTTCGTTTGTTGCAGAATCAAAAAGACTTTCATTGTAGTTACCGTACACTGAAATGGCGCCAAATACCTGGAAATGCTTGCAATTGGCTTCAATTCTTGAAATTTTCCCGGGGGAGGACCCCCGGACCCCGCTTCCATGGCCGCCCCACCTCCAAAGTCGGTGCGACGGGCCTGACACACACACACACACACTTCGTCTCTGGCTACACAATATTCCGCACTCAGTCTTCAAAATTTACGGTGCCTGGCCTGGGTGAGAAGTTGGATGACCCAAGATTGTGTGGGGCCACGGATGGAGTGCGGGTGTGTGCGAGATAATTATTATAATTTGCTATGACAAGGGTACAATGGAGTTGTGCTACACTTCGAAATCTTGACATCTTATTACTAGCACTTCCTCCACTGTAGGTGCCTGGTCATTTTCTATGATTATTATTATAAATTTATAATTGTCACCGTAATCATTCATGTATGCATGATCCACAGCGAGAAGACAGCAATGCCTGCCTGTACCTAAGGTGGGGTAAATTTTTAGATAGATAATGTAACCCTCCAACGTATCTACGACTGTGTGTTTCTTTGTATGAGAATACGATTACGAAAAGACTCTCCGCTCACAAATGCTGAGTACTTGCAGGATCAAAGGACGAACTGTGAACTGACCTCTACAACAAATGCAGTCCCTGGGAGCTCACCTAATTTAGGCCCATTCGTCCATACTTGCAACACTTCGACTTCCACTGCACCTCCAACCACGCGCAAATCGCGCTTCGTGGTTGTCAACTGCTCTCACCACACTTCGGCTATCTGCTGCCAGGCGGAACAACCTCAAGGTTTGAAGTATTTTGAGCGGATTTGGTCCTGAGCAGAGCAGGTTGTTCTTCGATTCAGCTCATCAAAACTTATGCCGGGCTCCGAAAACCCCAGCAAGGATTATGTCAGACAGTGCAGCAAACTAGACCAGGCAAGTTTTAGTTCCTGGTCCGCTGCCGCCATTCCATGCCTGGGGAAGATGCTGTATGTCAAAATGCAGGCAGCCAGAAAGAAACTCATACGAACTTCGACTCGGGACTTGATGATGATGTACGGCGGAGAGTTCAGAGATGAGTACAATCATGTACGTCTTTTTGTACTTGACCTTTCGCAGTTTTGTGATCTTGCGAGGCAAGGAACAGCCCTGCTTTTTACCATACCAGCGTAGATCTACTCGTAGGCGAGTCTAGTCTACGTACATAGTCAGTGGTCACGGACTAGTGGCACGTGCATGCGTGATAATTATTTCAGTGATATAAGGTCGGTACAATTATTATTGTAGCGACCTCGCTGCATGCCTATAATATCCGACCAGTTCAGATCTTGAAAAGAGGAATCATGAATAGGCTTTGGCGGATTATGCCGGCATAATATTTGGCATAATCTTGGGATTTCGTCAAAAAATTATGCTCCGGCATAATATACGGATTCCAACGTGTAAGGTCGGCATAATCTTTCGGTTTAGACAAAAATTATGCTTAGGGGCATAATACAGCTTTGTCAGAAAGCCTGCAGATGTTTTTTTTTTTTGTTTTAATACCCCAGTTACGACTCCTTGTCATAGCCCTTGGCGGATTATGCCGGCATAATATTTGGCATAATCTTGGGATTTCGTCAAAAAAATTATGCTCCGGGCCATAATTATACGGATTCCAACGTGTAAGATCGGCATAATCTTTCGGTTTAGACAAAAATTATGCTTAGGGCATGGCCGTGTGTGTACGCGTGGTTTCTCAATCCTCTATATACAGCGTGAATACATAGTGGAACCAAGCATAATTCAGCATATTTGTTGGCATAATTGTGGCATAATCAAAAGCATAATTTGAGGATTGGCCGAGCATAGTCCGCCAATGGCTAGGGTGGACCGTGGTTAGGGTCCGGCGGATTCTGCCGGCAGAAAAATTGGCAGAATTCGGTACTTTTTCTGGTAAGTTTCATGCATATTTGGTATGTGGATAAAGAAATGGAGCAGAATTCGAGGAATTGCCCGCCATAAGGTTTGTATGGTTCTGCCAATTTCACTGCTTTTCGAGCAGAATCTGCCACCTTTTCGAGCAGAATCCGCCGGTCCCTAACCGTGGTCATTAGTCACAAGTTAGCCAAGTTACAGAATTGATGGTCAATGTTCTCGCTCAAACTTGTCCGACGTTATAAACACAAAAATCCCAACACAAAAATCGGCCACAACAAGGCTTGGTGCGCAAAAACTGCTTCCACAAATCGTGCTCCCGCTTTATGGAGTTTGGAGACCACAGCATAGATTTACGGTGTGGGTCCTGCGGGATAAGTAACCTTATGTCCCTTGTTGCTGCTGCTTCTGCTGGTCAGCTGCAACTGCTCAACGGTTGTTGTCGTTGTTGTTGTTTTTGCTATTGTTGTCAGCGGTGGCTGCTTGATGTACTACACTGTACTACTGGCAAGATACAGCACGGTCAGACTTCGCTTATCCGGTCCTCTTTTATCCGGATCATTTGCCATCTGGGAGAAAATCGCCCGTTACCGATTTACAGCGCAATTATGTCATGCATACAATACAGTATGCGTGTTCGATTATCCGGTTCCCTCGACTATCCGGATATTTTGTGGAACACAGATGTGTGCCGCCGGGGTTATGTGATGTCTGACTATATTCTCTTGCTCAGAGTACCAGCCATGCACAGTCAACCTTTCGACACCCGATACAGACTGTTAAAGTTCTCAGTCTTGAGGTTGAATACTGTGACATGCAGTGAAGTGATCGACTGTAGGTATGAAGGTGGTGTCATTATTCGCCATACCCGAGATCGTTACTCTTTCGAGGTTGTCTACACCAGGAGCTCATCTACCCAGTCAGTATTATGTCTCCTCTATTCACTTCTTTCGAAGGCGATAAGCCAGACCCACCGGGAAATATTTCCATAGGTGGGACAGCAAAAATAAAGTGAAAAAATAAAAAGCTAAAAACCAAAGGGACAAGAAATAGGGGAAGGAAGAGGAAGAAAGGAAAGAAACTCAATCCGAACTCCAACATCAAAACAATAATAAAGAATTTGCAGCGACAGGCAAAGTACATCAACCAATGAAGGGAGTAACAAAGGAAATAATCAGTCTTTATCAGTCGTTATTCAAGTCTCTTAGCTATTGAACATGCAAACGCAGCAGAGGTGCATCTACATGTTAAGGATAGTTCTTATTGTTATTTCTCTAACTTAGATTTTCTATAATAGGTCAATTTTGTTTTCATTGTCCTTTAGTACAACGAAGATTCCTGATGAGTGTTGTACGAAAACTTGTTTGAATCCTCATTTTCTCTACACCATTTCTTCACATTTTCATCGTTTTATTGCACATTGTCTCCACAGTTTTACATTACATAAATAAAGTGTACACAAATGTCGATCCAGCTTGCATTACTGATTGCGGTTATCAAATTATTATCACACTGTATTATTATTATTTTAAAGAACTAAGCATGACAAGTGTGTATCAGCAACAAAAAAGTGAGAACGAAAAAGTGAGAGATTATTATTACATGTATTATTATCTTTATTTCCGGGATGACCGTATAGGCTGGAATACATTTAGAAGTACAAGAACTTGATTTCAAAGACATAAAGTTACGACTTAGGCCTTGACAGATTATGCTAGCATAATTTTTCGCATAATTCCTACCAAAATCGAATACAGTCAGACCTCGCTTATCCGGTCCTCTTTTATCCGGATCCCTCGCCATCCGCGATATCCGGAAGAACATAGCTGGTTACAGATTTACAGTACGCATAGTGCATCCAACATAACCGGTGTTCGGTTATCCGGTTCCCTCGCCTATCCGGATATTTTTGTGCAAAACGGATGTGTGCGGTTTAAGCGAGGTCTGACTGTAATCGCATAATAGATGACTTGCACAAAGATTGTCTGGGTTCGAGACGGGGCAAGTGGACCTTCTGACTCTGACTTCCCCACCTTTTGAGTTCGTGACTTTCGAAGTTTCGCTTTTTGCCTGACGAACACTGAGCTAGTTTTTTTGGCTAGAGAGTAGAGTTGTTTTGATTCGGCTTGTATCGTCATGCCGAAGCGCTGCTACGCTCCTGAATGCACTAGCAGACGAGAGATGGAACTGAGGCTCCCATTCCATACGTTCCTTTTCGAGCCGGCCGGCCGGGAGGCAGAAAAAATGAGGGAATATTATTTTAGTATCATTGGTGTAGGCTGCAACAAGCACGTCGTGGTCCTGAAGTGTGACTACTTTCCCGCAGTGGAAGCGAAGTCAAGCACAACGAAAGTTTGTGGACGTCTGAGAAAGAACTCGATTCCCTTCGATTCGGCTGCACTAGCTCCAGAGCGACCCCAGTCTCCTGAGGACAGACTGCGGAGAGGCCAGGAACCTGTCGAGTCAAGAGTGGAAGCCCAAACCACGAAAATGAGGGGTGGAAGGACTGAGTGTGTGAGCCAGATGGCCTTTAGTAGTACTTCAAGTAGTATCTGAGTTGAAGGAGAGAACAAGTGTGCTGGAGAAACGCTGCGAAGTCCTCAGTCCTGATGTGTACTAGCTACTGTTGAAGTCTCACTTCCGATATGAACACTTCATCAGCCCTGACTCTGAGCAGCTGTATCTAGACTTGGACTTAGGCCAGAGACATAGCATTGTAAACCTTACTGAAGCCATTATGTATCCAATGCCTGGCTCTAGTGAGAAAGCAGTTTGGCGCAGGCTCGCAAACTATGATTGAATCAGGGAGTGGTGGAAAGTCACATTATACCTCCCCATGATTAGCTGGTAATGACGACGATGCGGCTCCGGCTGGGTCTCAGTCTTAGAAAGGATTTGTTGGAGCATCATCAAACAGTGCATTCGCCTTCATCATACACTGGCTCCGTTGCCTACAGTAATTCACATTTTGACGGGGCGCGCTGGGACGATACGGAAGGAGCGGCGGGAACCATTGGAGTGCTCATGATGCTGGTTAGCGGAGACCGATGTGTCAGGAACGGGAACGCAACCGCACTACTGTACAGATCAGGAAGATGGAAGAGTTGAAACTGCTCAGCCTTCCATGCCGTGTACAGGGACACAAGCGTAAAAATGGCTACATTTCAAATGTGAACTGGCGATGGCATTGTGTGGCGACGAACACAACTGCAACTGTTCAAATTTCAGCATTTCGAACATTATGCTTCCCATGATAACTCACCGAATGGCTCACATGACGGAGTTGGACATTACCAGGCTAGGATTATCATTTGCTGTATTTATGGATAGTCCTTGAGTTTTCAGATGAAGTGCTTTATCTTTTACCTGTCGTTCCTTTAGTATGGCACAATGTCCATGGCTGCTTCCTTGTCTTCATAACAGACTGGTATAATCAGCATGATTCTGCTTTTTTTGAGAAGAAATAAAACTTTCCTTTCGGAAAGGAAGCCCAGAAACGTCAACCCCCATGGACTGTGCTTTATGACTCTCGTCCGTCGACGTTAACCGTCGCAATCAAAATAATAGGAGATCCTCCAGATAGGCGTTAGCCTTTGGGTAATCCTGAAATAAAGATTATTAATATTATTAATAACTGCTGCATGTATGTTGTGCTGTGCGAACCGTACAAGATTTTACAGCTCACCCACGCCTTCCCAACAGGCTCCTATATCCCGTACCGTTGGCGTTACATTGAATATGAACTAGGCTAGCACAGTTATCCTTCGTTCTTTTGATGGCGGCGGGTAGCATGGAACTTGACGTGTTCTTGGGATCCTCGTGCAACACTTGCTGTTCCCGGATGCCATATTATTGGGTGCATCGAGGTTGCTTCTATGCTCACTGTTGTTTAGTAAGACAATTTTTTATAACTATTTCACCGAAGAATAAGGCAAGAGTATTTTGGGTTGGTTTGGACGCCTGGCTTCTCTTCACATAATGATACAGTCATGTACTTCCACTCAGGGAGTAGTACAATACCTGCTTCCACTAACCCTACAAGTGCACATGCATGACTCATGAGCTGCTGAAGACAGTGACGGTACTGATCATGTACATGTACATGCCGTGGACCGTTCATTCATGCTGACAAAAAAAGTACACTGCACTAGTCTA